CAACCAGGGGATTGTCAAGGGCGGGGGAAAAAAGGAGACATATGTAATACCCTTTGTAATATTTTAAGCAATAAAACAATAAAAAAAATGGCATAGACCCTAATGGAGGGGAATTTGGTAACATCTAGCAAAACTACATATACATTAACCCTTCGACCCAGGAATACCACTTTTGGGAAGTTAACCTGAAAATACAACAACAGTAATATGAAAATTCATATAAACATGTACCATACAGGGCTATACCAGGAACCAAATGCCCCACCTGGTCATAGTAAGCAATTTTAAACAAGATATTTGGTGTCTGTGTGTCTCTGGCTTTTTATCATAATTTTTATCATTATATGCCTGTTCCTAATACTCTTAGGTTTCTTGAGTAACTTATGAAAAAAATACACAAAAAAGAGGCTGAAAATTCTATAATAGGCATATTTATTCATGACTTTGTTATTCTGAGGTTAAATAAGTTATACTATCCAATAACACAACTAACTGATCAAAGTCAACAAAAGCCAGGCAGGCAATGCACTGTTCAACTAATCCAAAACCAAGTAAGAGAAACAGAAGACAACCATCATGTACCAGGCTTTTGGATTTCTGTAGTCTTCTTGGCAACACAGGCAGCAGGTGTTTGATTTTCTTTCTTTATGCAAATGAGAAAATATTGCTACAAACATTTAATAGTACTACAGAAATCAGGGGTCTACCGCCTTTTCCTATAAAGGGCCAAACAGTAAACATTTCAGGCTTGTGGGTCACATCTGGTTTTTAACACATATTTTTCTTTATTCTTGTTTCTTTATTCTTCTGCTCAAGAACCTTTTATGGTTCTCCAGTGATCATGAAAAGCACAGAGAGCTAAACCAGTCACTCAAATCTACCGTTGATCTTGCTGTAATCTGCTTCTCAAAACTCTCCCTAGTATTCTCCCCATTTTGTACTCCATGTTCTAGTCAAATTAAACACTTAAAATTTGATAAAGAAGCCCCACACTTATTACCTCCAAGTCATTCTTTGTGACAAGCCCACTTATGGAACTGATTTCCCTCTGTGCTTGCTGCAATCCTACCATATCCTTAACAGATTCAATCCAAATGCTGTCTCTTCCAGGAAGCCTTCTCTGCGAACCCAGCCAGACTTCCGCCCTTTGAATTCTCTCCACTTGATGCCTCTTCTCATTCTGATCACATTCTTCCTTATGATGCTTATTTGTATACTTTCTTATCTGACCTCTAAATTGTAAGCAAATGAGCTCTGAGGGAAGGCAAAAATATCTTAATCATCTTTTTGTCCCCACAGTGCTCTATGGGAAAAGACTGTCAATGCCCAATAAATATTTACTGAATTATTAGGAAGAGGATGATTCTAAAACAAAAAAAGGCAAGCACATTCTGAAGGAACAGTGCAATTCTTTCATAAACTCTGCAATATATGTCTATAACAAGTAATCAATAACACTTGACCAGTAAGATTTTAAGTGAGAATACTGGCTCCCCAATTTCTAAATATTACTTCTATCTTGCCCTGGCCAGTGTGGCTCAGTTGGTTGAGCGTTGTCCCATGCACCAAAAGTTCTCTAGTTCAATTCCCAGTCCGGGCACATGCCCAGATTGCATGTTTATTCCCTGGTTGGGGTGAATGCAGGAGGCAGCCGATCTATGTTTCTCTCTCTCTTTCTCTCTAATATCAATAAAAACCTATTTTTTAAAAAAACTAATTATTTCTTCTCTCTCTACCATGTCAAGTGAAAGGTAATAATTTGCAAGGAAACAGAGATCTGCAGGAGTTCCATTAAAATGCTTGCATTTAAGATGAGACAAAGCACCACAATGACCTAGTCACATGTTTCAGTTCCTATAAACTTTAAGCAGCTTCCTAATTTAATACCATTCCAAAATACTTACAGGAGTAAATGAGAGCCGGAAAGAGAGTTTCATTTCTTTCCTGAGCTGTTTCAACCAGCATACGAAGTGGGCCTTTTGGACACAAAACAGCCACTAAATCTAGAAAGAGAAAAATAGAAAAAACATCTGAAAAAAATGTATTGGCTAAACTTGTAAGTAGGTGTGTTAGAGAGGAATTAGCCAATGGAGAATACTTAATTTTTTTTTGAACAAAAAGATGTGAAATGGCCCTGGCTAGTGTGGCTCAGTTGGGTGGGTGTCTTCCCGTGCACTGAAAGGTTGCTGGTTCAATTCCCAGTCAGGACACACTCTGGGGTCACTGCCTCAATCCCCAGCAGGGAACATGCAGGAGGCAGCCGATCAATGTTAGGCTATCACATTGATGTTTCTTGCTCCCTCGCCCTTCCTCTCTCTCTAAAATCAATAAACTATTTTTTTTAAAGATGTTGAATGAATATGAAATAAATAGCAGGTAAACGGGTATGGGAGGCAACCTAAACAAAACCCTACAGATCTGTGCAAATTTTATTTTGGTTCTGACGCTATTTGGTTAGTTTACAATATATCATTATTGGGTTCTAGGAATAACTCTTCCCAGTTTGAAGAAAAGAGGCAGAGATAATTGCAAGACAGAACTATTCTAGAGCAATTGTCAATGTCCAATAAGCAGAAAACAGGGAAAAGCCATTTGCAAACAAACCATACCTATGAGCCACAAATAGGAGCTTTATTCTAAGAGGAATTTAGTAGAGGGTCTTTGCTTGAACTTTTCAAAATATGAAGAGCAGACAAGAGATTAATCTTCTCTCCTTTTCAAAAATAGTATATGTACTACTTATGGGTACTTGAAATAAAAGGACAGTAAATTTAAACAAAATAAAATAATAAACTTTTCTATGAGAGAGTTTAGCATTTCTTTAGTTTTCCTGTCAAAAGCACTTCATAAATATTTAGGTCTTAGAGTATACCTGTTTTCACAAAAATAGCAACTGAGAGAGGAAGCAATATGCCTAAATTATTCTTTTTGGGGGGTCTAAATTAGTCTTGATTCTACCACCATCTCTTTCCAATAATCGCAATTGTTCTTACATTTTCTATCATGAAAATTCAGAATATGAAAAATAATTTCAAACATTTAAAAATATAAAACAGGTAGAGCTAAATTTTAAAGGAAAACTTTGATAGATTATGGTGACATTCCAATCATTCTGATGCATTTAAGTAAAACATCTCATGCCTGCAAATGGTCATGTCTTATAAACTACTACTACTACTACTACTACTACTACTACTACTAAAAATAATATAATACACACACACACACACACACAAACTGCTACTTTCACTGCTTCCACTTCAATTTGTTTTGGATAAGAAGAGAAATTTGTTGTGTTCCTAAATATTTTTTGGTGTGCCTCAGAGTTTTAGTATTATTATGTGTGTCATGAGATGAAAAAGGTTAAAAATCACTGCTCTAAATATTAGACACAAAAGTTTTGCATTTTAAAGGAACTCAAAGCTCTGTAGAGGTAATTATTTGTATCATATTTGAAGGAAATAAAGGGTTGATGGGAAAAACAGTGTAATGTAGTAGAAAAAGATACTGAACTTGGGATTCCAATTCTATATCATTCAGGGTAAGCTTGGGCAAATACTTCACCTATATAAACTTCAGGTTTCTTAGCAAAATGTGGTTGTTGACAATGGCACTGAATAGAACATATTAGTAAAATCTTTGACTACAAAGTATTTATTAGTTACTGACTGGATGAAGTACATCACTGACATTCTTTTTTTTTTTTTTAAAAATATATTTTATTGATTTTTTACAGAGAGGAAGGGAGAGAGATAGAGAGTTAGAAACTTCGATGAGAGAGAGACATCGATCAGCTGCCTCCAGCACATCTCCTATTGGGGATGTGCCCGCAACCCAGGTACATGCCCTTGACCGGAATCGAACCTGGGACCCCTCGGTCCGCAGGCCGAGGCTCTATCCACTGAGCCAAACCGGTTTCGGCCATCACTGACATTCTTAATCATAGCTATAGAATAACTGATGAGTACTTTGCAAATCATCAAGTACTATTCTATTTTTCCTAGAGGCCTGGTTATGGATTCGTGCACCGGTGGGGTCCCTTGGACTGGCCTGTGGGGATCGGGCTGAAACTGGCTCTCCGACCGCCCCCGAGGGGTCACGGATTGCTGGAGGTAGGTTCTCAGGTGACACACAATGGAATTGGGCTCCCTCCTCTCTGTTTCCGGGTGCATCACCCTAGAACCGCAGCTGCCAAGTCACCACAGCTCCTGCATTGAGCATCTGCCCCCCTGGTGGTCAGTGCGCATCACAGCTACTGGTTGGAGCGTCTGCCCCCTGGTGGTCATTGCGTGTCATAGCTACCAGGCGAGTGGGACAGTCGGATGGTGGCTTAGGCAAGATAACCTAAAATCAGGCATAGTTTTATATGAGAACGGAACCAATCCAATTCTATTTCCATACACTTTTTCTTCGACACTCAATTTGGGATTATGAGGTTTCCTAATATAGGTCCCTTGACATTTTTAATAAGCAACTGTATAGGAATGAAAAAGCACTACCTACTTATAATGTAGAAACCACATACTGACCTCTAAAAATGGATCTCTTTTTGTGGCTTTCATGCAGGGCAATAGCCACAGAGTATACACTTGTACAGCTGCCTTGGATATTCGTGGCTAGGGCACATTCTGACTGTTCAGGACCCATGTAACACTGGTTGTTTATGAATATGAATCTCATACTGCCCAAATAAGTTTTATTTTTAAAAGAATAATTCTACCCAAGTGCCTTATAAAAAGCAGATAACCTAATTTTTATTTAAAAAATTAAGTGAGCCCAGCCAGTGTGGCTCAGGGCTTGAGCTTGACCTATGAACCAGGAGGTCACGATTTGATTCCCAATCAGTGCACATGCCCAGGTTAGGTCTCGATCCCCCATTGCAGGAGGCAGCCGATCAGTGATTCTCTCTCATCATTAATGTTTCTATCTCTCTCCCTCTCCTTTCCTCTCTGAAATCAATAAAAGTGTATATTTTTAAAAACTAGAATGAGCATTTTACGTGTTAAGCACTCTGTTAGTGCTTTTCAACATATATTCTGAACCCTTACAAATTCTGGGAAGCATTGTTCCCATTTTCCAAATGAAGCAACTGAGGCTCAAATAGGCTGAGTCACATTCCTAAGGTCACAAAGGCTGTCAGTGGCACAGATAGGATATGAATCTAAGTCTCCTGACCAGAAGTCTGTATCACTGAGTTAAACTGGAGGCAGTAATAAAATATTTTTAAAGATGTTAACCTCAAAAAATTGAAATCTTTATATGAAAAAGATGCCATAGCTAATTAATTATTTACTGAAGGGCTGTGGGATATAATCATTATCATTTTCATAAGTTAAGATAACTGGAAGAGGAAGGAAAATACACCAGGTCAGGTATCTCTGTGATAAAAAAAAAAGTCAATCCCGGGTTTTACCATATACTGAAATCACAGCCAAGATGAGCCACGCAGTCCATTCTGGGAGGTACTTGATAAATACCAGGGCCATGAGGGCACTGATCATGATGAGATACGCCTGCTGGAGTCGCAGTGGACCTTTCCAATGAATGGCAATCATTCCCACCACACCAAAATTCCAGATCAGGAGGGCAATAGTAATGTAGTCTACGGCAACATTATAGGTTTTAAACACTTCCCTGAAAAAAATGAGATATAAAAAGATTTATGTATAATAATTTTCATCAAAACACTGTTTAGAACTATGGTTCCCAATCATTAGATATTCATATCGCACCTTCATATTTTTAGCATATCTTGTATCAACTGTGCTATTATGTTAACATTTTTCTTTAAATTAATTCACTTTTCTCCTCAAGTTATTTTAATAGAAAACTGTATCATTCATATAAATGGGAAACCAGAAGCATAGACCATACCTATAAAAATAAGTACAAAAACTAAACAAGGCCATATACCACCTAAAATAACTAATTCTATAATTTGGGAAACTCTCGCTTAAAATATGTGAAATTATAACAAAGGGATGGGAGGAATGATTCATGTAGTCACCTGTAATGCTGGCTTTAATTCTGGGCAGGATTAGAGAGCGTAGAAATTTCATGAAAAAACCAGCACTTCATTTTTTAAAAAACATGTTTTCCCCCAAAATCTATGGTAGATATGTTATGGTAGAACATATGCTATCTGTTTAAATAAAATGCATTAAAATAGATAAATAAAATACCTAAAATAGACAAAAATAAAACATGAACAATTAATTTTCTAGCTAGGATGTATGATCCTATATAATAAAAGGCTAATATGCTGCCTGGCTGGTGTGGCTCAGCAGTTGAGCATCGACACAGGAACCAAGAGGTAGCCGGTTTGATTCCCGGCTACCTCAGGGCACATGCCCAGGTTTCGGGCTTGATGCCCAGTGGGGGCTGTGCAGAAGGTAGCCAATCAATGACTTTCTCATCAATGTTTCTATCTCTCTCTCCCTCTCCCTTCCTCTCTCTCTAAAAATCAATAAAAATATATATTTTTAAAAAGGCTAATATGCAAATTGCCCCCTCAACCAGGAGTTCAACTGGGAGTTTGACCAGGAGGTGGGACTCAGGAGGCAGGGCCAGCCAACCGCCCGCGTCCCTTCCCCCTGGCCGCCCCAGCCCAATCTGCCCAGATCCCACCCGTGCAGGCATTCATGCACCGGACCTCTAGTATCTTCATAAGATGAAATTTATAAATCCACTAAAAGACATACACACACACACACACACACACACACACCCCGCTGCCTAAAAAAAAAAATCTCATTTCTGAAACTGTGTGTGAGTAGGAAGAGCAATATATTGATATATATAACTCCTGAAAGGATGCAGGACTATCTATAGATGATGGAAATCTGGTAATTTTTCTATTACTTTTCTCTTTATAATTTTGTGAAATATTTTTTTTACAATGAATGTTTAGTCGTTTTTTTTTTTTAAAATGATTTCAGAGAGTGTGAGAGAGATAGAGAGATAGAAAGAGAGAGGAACATTGATTTGTTGTTCCATTCATTGGTTGGCTCTTGTATGTGCCCTGACTGAGCATCAAACCCAAAACCTTGGCGTACTGGGATGACACTCTAACCAACTGAGCAACCCAGCCAGGGCCATTTCTATAATGAAGAAAAATACTATTTTAATTGGGAGGGGAGGGGGAGGGACTCCACCATCTATAATAATAAAAGCGTAATATGCTAATTAGACTGGATATCCTTTCAGACGAAGCCAGGGCTGTGAGGGAAGCCCAGGCCCCGGGTGCCAGAGGGAAGCCGGTGCTGGCAGCTGGGAGAAGAAAGGCCTACTCTTGCACGAATTTCGTGCATCAGGTCTCTAGTCTAAAAATAAAGAAATTACATGTAAAAAAGATAGCCTGGGTAAATGAGAAAGAAAGCACCCATTTAACTGAAGCACAAACTTTGGGTTCCAGAACTATCCAGACAAATGGTTTTGAGATTTTGAAAATTAAAAAAACAAAAAAAAAACGGTTGAAATTTGTGGACAATGCAGCTATTTGTATTAAGTATTTTAGATATCCTAGCACTAAATACCCACCCCACATAAATTATTATTAATCTTTGGCTAGGTAATACATGCATAACATATAAAAATTCACATATATACTATGAAAAGTTTTCCTCCCATAGTTCCCCTCTCCAAAGGAAAGCACTATTATAATTTCATGTGCATTCTTTTATTTTTAACTAGTAGCCCGGTGCACGAAGTTCGTGCACATTAAAGGGAAAATTAGCAGAGGTATTTTAACATTGCTATTTGCCCTTTCTCTATAACAGAAGTGTGAGAGATGAACAGAAATTAGTAAAATGTATATGAATATAATATATAAATTAATAAACAGTAACAAAAGGATATAACAACAGAGGCATGATATAAAAACAACAAAAACATGATATAAA